AGAAAAACAAACAAAAAAAATCCCCTTCAACATACAATAGGGAATTTCTGTTATTCAAAATTACCACAGAAACTGCAGTCTCTAGTCAGTGTCCTGTCATTGCCAAAAATTAACGTCATGCCCAATGCTCTGTTTCTGCCGAGCAGTTACCTGAAGTTGTTCTCAAGGTAGCAAGTTACAGCCAACTCCAAGCAGAAGTGTCCCTGCTGTTGACAAGTCCTCTGGTACTAAAATGATAGGCTCCTTGAATTAAATCCAATTAAAAACATTATTCCTGCCAATTAAACTCCCAAAGTATTTTATCTTAAAATAAGGGCTTTTGCCTTTCAAATATTTTTAACTGAAGAAGTTGGATTTTTTTAGCAGATGTAAAGATTTGTCCCAGATCTACCAACCTATACAGACCTGGGTGCCTTCACATGGATCAGCCATCCCTTTAATGAAATCAGTCACTATAATGTAGTAGTCACTTAACCAAGGCAGCTTGGAAGTGTAACACTGCTACTGCTATTTAACCATATTACATTTTCAATCATACCTTGCTGCTGGTGGCTCATTTCTAAAATCAGAAATTATCACGAGTTAAAAACCCCAAAAGTTAAACGTGTTGTGCTTCTAAAAGCAGAGCATGCAGTGTGGAGGCTTTTTACTCCATCTGTGTCACAGCAGCAGGACCCTTTCTTCTGCCGGTCTCCTTTCTTTGGTTATTTGGCTCGGCTGTACCACTGCATACACCGCACACGTGTACAACAGAGCGTTATTTGGAAAGAAAACAACTTAGTGGCTAAGAGGTCAGCCTTAAAACTAGGAGCACAAGATTCATGATCTTTAATTCTCTGTAAACTGCTTTGAGTAAGGCTGTTCCAACATCCCTTGGTTCCTGCTACAAAGTGGGAATTGAGCATTCAAAGGGTGTTTTGAAGCCAAAACACTCTACTTGCGTACACACTTGCCTACAGCATCACATCACGTGCTTCAACGTAAGCCAGCTTTCCAGCTCTGCAAGCGATTGTGTACGCTGTGAAAACTATGAGCCGCTTCCTATGTTAATTAGAGCCTGTTTAAAAATAGCTTTTCCCAACTTCCCTTCCAAAAATAAAATATTATTTAGATGACTTGCGCTATCCAAAAGCTGACGGGTGAAAAAAAAGCTAGCAGAAGCATTCCTAGCAAAGAGTGCTAGGGGATCACTTCCATTCTATGTGAGACAGACTGGAGCAATCTCTGCTTCCCTCATAAACCTACCGTCAACAGGAAGGAGGAGGAGGAACATTATAATCACAGTCACGATCAAGTCCTCTGAGAGTTTCTCCATGCTCACGCTTACCACAACACTACAATACAGGAAAACTGCACCCATGCATGGTACAGACATTTACTCTAAACACATTTTCTATAAACCACCACTTACTAAAAATCAAGCTAGCTTTAACAAGACTACACCGAGTACCTCAACCAGATCTCTCTCAGGAGCACTGAATCATCGCAGAGTGCAAATCCTACCCCAGACACTGAATACACGGGGTCAGTTCATTCGTGTCGTTATGGTATGACCGCCCCAGCCACCTGAATTAGCCCACTTAAACAGGCTGCTGTGCAGACAACCTGCTTCATCGCTCCACCTGTAGTGTTTACGTTCTTCTCCAACACACTCCTACACCCTCTTGATTCCCAGTTCTCTCATTAAGCTATGATAGACTGTCTTTTTCTTTTCCTCCTCCTTAGGTAGGCAGACATAAAAAGAAAAATACATTCTATGTAAATGGTCATTTTTTCACTTAAAAATTCTTTATTCCTCACCAACCCGCTCTGCAGGAATTCATTTTGCTTTCACAGCTGCTAGGGATATTTTCTGTACCGGGTGATCTACTTACGTCGAGTCTAGCAAAGTGCCATCCAGGAGTGAAGCATTGTAGTGATACTTTAAGTAATCTCCCTTCTTACTCAGTACAGTGCAGTTGGAAGGTTTGTAGTTAACAGTAATGCTGACCGAATCGGAGGGGTTGTGGAAGTCAACCACGTGGATGTCAAAGACCAGCACGGCAGATCCTGGAATCTTTCCTAAATAGGGAGCAAATTAGGCAAGTAGAGAAAGAAATGGTACCCAAACAGGCTTATGATGACCAGGTACTGCACCCAGTAGGAATACATATTCCCACTGTGCCTGCTACCGAGTCATTTTGCCCTTCTTGTTCAGAATTAAAGGATTGCACCTCCTCTGTATGCAACAGATACAAGCCACATCCAATGTAGGAGAGAGAACCAGTGGACAAGCACTAAATGCACTCAGTTCAACAGTGAAGGAAAAAATTTCCATTATTCTGAATTTGAAAATTATACAGAAATTAAGCGTGTATTTCCTGTGACCATCTTAAATGACCAATTTGTGTTTCATGTACCAATTAATTATTGATCATCGAAATTCTCATAGGACTTCTCATGTTCCAAGGAATGCCATTATGTCTAAAGGGTTACATTTCCTTAAAATGTATTGATAGCAAAAGCAAATTCCTGGCCCTTCACAGGATAGCGTGGCCATCACATTACCAGGACTAACAGGCACACCCAGATCCAGGAGTGGGTTTTGTTGTTAGAGGAGTCTAATTCCCAAATCAGCAGCATAGAATTTGCATTCCCAGACGAGAGGCTTTTCTTCTAAATCACTTTTTCCAAATAACGTCCCAGGAGGTACCTTTTGAAACACCAGCCATAAAACTGTGATCGGCTAGAAGGGTTATCATGTTCAGCCTCCCACAGCAATCTTTTTGGCTACTAATGAGTTTTCCCAAAGGAATCTTAACTGTATGTTATACATACACAGATACTGTGCTGTTACATGCATCCACCGTTTACAGAGGCGGCTTAGGACTCCACAAAACCTGTGGCTGTGGAAGGAACAGGGAAGAAAACTTAACACAATGAATTCCTTTGGCATACAGAGCTTGCTAAGACACACAGGAAGGAAGATCTCACGCTGCAGAGCTCCTGGCATCCAAGTACCCGTCTGCCTGAAACACTGATTATCCAAATGAGTTCAGGTCACCAAGCACCAGTCTGCCTGAAACACTAATTATCCAAATAATTTCAGGTCACCAGTTACATGAGAGATTGTTCTGCATTCTTATTGTCCTGCCTATTTAGCTAATTAAAATAATTTTGCAAATTCTGGGTGTAATCCTGTCAGTTGCATGCCCACAAAATAATGAACTAATTCCTAAGCCTTTTAAATGCCAAAAAAAATGGAACTGCACACAGATGCACTAAGCAATAAAGGAAACATCATTAATTATGGAAGACCTGAATGAAAAGTCAAGCTCACCTCTTCCTTCTTCTCCATATCCAAGATGAGGGGGGATTATTATTCTTCTTTTTTCACCAGTGCATACACCTAGCAAACCTTCATCCATCCCAGCAATCACATAGCCTTTCCCGACATAGGTGTCATAGGTATGATTTCGTGAATAGCTATGGAAAATATTTGCATTTTAGCAGTGTCAGATGTACTTGAGAAAACACAGAACCTCGCAATAGGTCTGCAACCAGTTAAGGTCAAATGCAAGGTCATTAACTAGCATCGGAGAGGCACAGTGCAATCACCACGCTCAATGACTCTAGGCCACCAAGTTTCATCAGTCAGTGATGCATGCGTCATTTATTAACCAGTACTGGGACCCTGGCTAGGGAACAGCTTATTTGCAAATGCGTTTCTACTACGTCTTGAAAGAAAATCTCACCTCTTTATGTATTTTAGATTAAATATAAAACAAGTTTTGATATGTAACTGAAAAAAATTAGGTTTCTCCTTTAAATTTTCCTCTGCCCCGATTCTACTTTAGTAAGTGCTTATCAACTAGATAGATACACTTTACATTCATTTTCATAAGACACCCTTCAGACTATCTCATTTTGTAACCACAGCTATGTAGTTCAACTACTACAAGCAGGAGGTGGGATAAATAGGCTCTCCCGGGACACAAAGAATTAAAATGAGTCATGACGACAGAGCAGTATCAACACTATCCCTCCCTTCCAAACTATGCCAATCGCTTCTACATAGGTTGAAGGATCTGCTTCAACATCTAATGACAGAAAAAAAACCAAGCCTACAACAACAAATGATGTTTGTTACAAGTATGTGCCTGTCTTCCGCCTTTCTTCAGGGCATGCTAGATGAAGGCACAACCCAAGGAAGGGAAGGCAGAAAGGTTTTAATTCATCTTTATGAGGTAACTCTGGGAAAGAGCAAGACCACTGCAGACCCTGATGTAATTCAGAGGTTTATTCAACTGCTCTTAAGTCCAGACAGCCCTGGGTGAGCTGCCCAGGGACAGTTCTGCAGCTGAATACTGCAGAGGAGAAGAATTAAGGAAAAGATTACTAGAGCTCTCGACCCCAGCCATTCAGAGTGCTTTTGGCATGCTCCCTGTACTAGTGAGAAATTTTTTCCTGGCCAGCTCCAAGGCTTTCAATAGCTATTGTTAGCCACTCTGTTTCTTCATAGATACTTGTTAGATATTGGCCCTTCTTGTCAATTCTGCTGGAAGCCAGGAGACAACACTCTTAACAAATAAGCCCTCTAACAACTGTCAGCGCTTTAGAATGATGTAGAGGCTGCTGTCTACAAAGCATTTATTACCATTTTTTGACAACACTGATATAAACGCTACAGCCATTTTCAAAAATTAATTACTACAGACAATACTCATTTACATCTCAAAAAAGAGAGATTCTGGGCAGGTACAGTGTAGATAAGCTTAAAGTTCTTAACTTACAAGTTTTTGTAAGCTGTAAATTAAGGTCTACGGTGATGGCTGTTGATGTGGGTCTCCTGCTTTCTATCCTCCCACCAAGCCGGGTAGCTGAATGGGGAGGTCAAGATTGATTCTGAACCTCACTGCACTTCAATTCCATTCCCTGAGATACAATTCCCTCACTCCTCCTCGTGGGAAGCAGCACACATGGCATAGTACTCAGCTAACGTTTGCAAACTGATCCTGATCTTCAGCTTGCAGCAGTTGTAGAAGGATGACAAAAATTTTCATTAGTTTATTTTGTGAAACATTTTACAGTGGCTCACTTTCAACTCTTTTTAGCTACTTGTGCCAGCTGTTCTGAAAGCTGGAGTGGAGGAGTAAAGTGCTGCTCACTGAAGAGCAAATAAAAGTGACGGGAAGCTACAATTCATCATATAATTCTGTACACGAGGCTCATGTGCCCAGAGAGCTTTGGATCTGAAGTGAGAGCAATCCCTCTTCCTTTATCACAGAAACCCCACTGCTGAATTCAGTCTTGAAAGACATTAGCCTTCCGAATGCAAACAGCTGTCCAGTACAAAGGGAAAGGCCGTCCCGAGATTAACCTCAAACTAGCCGCTAGCTCACTGGCTCACAGTTCTCAGGACACAAAATGGGAACTGTATTTATCTCCTCTCTCTTCAGAAGCATTGTCTATTTGGCAGATAAACTCTACAGGGCAAAGAGTCTTCAGGCACGCATGCCTTGAGTCTACACAGCTTCACCAGGTGGGTCACCACCCCTAGATGGCGTCTGTGACACTGCCATAATACAAAATAGGTCTTTGTCTTTCTGCCCATACTGAAAAGGTTTCAGTGAGTTGTTTAAGAAGAGAAGACTCTAGCTCCGCTCACAAATTTCAAAAAGGACGGAAAAGCAAAGAACTGTATTTGGGTATATTACGGACAGACGAGCCAAACTGGAAATGGGATCTGGAGGGCTGAATGGGTCGGTTACCTGGAATCAAACAATGTGCCATCCAAAAGTGTGCCATTGTAGTGGTATCGGAGAAAGTCTCCTGTCTGGCTTCTCCGCTCGCAAGATTCAGGCACATGCTGATTCTCAATAGTAATACCATCTTTGGGGTTATGGAGATCTAGCAAAACCACGTCAAAGACAAGAGAAGCTTGGCCAGGGATGTCCTTACCTACAAAAGTGTTAAGAGCAGAAAATTGGTAAGAAAGAGCTGACGTTCCAGAGCGAGCTTAAACATGTTTGTTGAAGAAAAGCAACCTACTGCCAAATATCAGGCACCTCCCCTCCCAAAAGAAATTAGCATAATCTGCTTCTAGTCAAACATGTTTTTGCTGCACGTGTGGGTTTGTGACTTAATTCTCCAACTCAGCTATTTCATTCTGTTCCTATTGTGGTGGCACTGTCTCACCAAAACAGTCTCGTCAGCAACACCCATCTTAGTCAATATACACCAGCTCCACCTGAGCTGCGTGGTTTAGTCTAAAGGTCTTTCTAGCACACTTCATGGAAGTGCATAAAATGACCATCAAAATACATATTTGGTACATTCGCTCTTCCCATCCTGTTAATATCAAAACAAGAGACCACATGATGGAAGTTGAAGAAGGGTAAACTGAGTATCTTAGTGAAAAAGTACTTTTCCATCAATACGCAAATTATAGTGTGAGTTGCTTTGACTGAGAACCATTGAGCTCAAGATCTTGGCAAAATTTCAAAACGCAACTCCACAAAGTTTTGTTATCCATGGAGGTCGCTATCACAGTTAAGGGTAATGAAGTCACAGAAGGGGTAAGAAACCTTGTACACCACAGACACATTCTTAAACATTAGAGCAGAGAAAGAATTTAAGGAAGTGTCCCAAACTACACCTAACAGCCCCCTCGTTTAACATGGGGACCTCTGTGCATGACCTGCAGGCTGCATACAGTCTCATAGGACAACTAATCCATCTTGTTGTTATTACTAGGGCATTGGTTGCAAAAAAAGAGGACAAAACTGGAACTAAAAATACGTTTTTCTTTTCAAAAGTTTTCTGCTCTTTGTGGCAAGAATTATGCAGCCATCTGAATTCCAGTTTTTGGCACCACTAGGTATTAATCACAGATTATATTCTCTGAAAGAAATAAAATTTCAATATATAAAGATTCCAATTCTGTCAACAAGTCTGCTAAGGAACCTACTTGTTAAATTTAAAAAAAAAAAACTTTTACTTCCTAATCAATCCAGTCCTGTACATAATACATTTTGAACCTCTCTTTCCATCACTTTGCTCCATCTCTCTGAAATGGGTAATAATGCTGCCCATAAATTTAAAATACACAAAGTACAAGTTTGTTTTAAAATATGGATTACTTGGATTTAAAAAAAAATAATAAAGAATAACTTTTACCATCTCCTTCTTCTCCATATGCCAGGAAAGGTGGTATTGTGATAATGCGCTTCTCTCCTACGCACATTCCCAAGAGACCCTGATCCATACCAGGAATCAGCCATCCAATTCCCACATAGGTATCATAAGTTCGCATCCGATTATGGCTAAAAATGAAAAACAAAAAAAAAACCAAACCCTACAACCAAATTTCAGACAGCCACAGGAAAGAACAATATTAATCTTCAAAAGCCTCACGTTATGCACAATATAACCCACAACTTGCTGCTCAAAAAATATTGCTCCTTGATTTACCAAGGGCTGGCTGGGTAGAGTTTTCCAGAGTGCTCAGCTATTTCAGGAACCTAACAGAAGTTTTGAAAAGTGGCTCACAAACCTAATGGCAGCTGTTATTAAAGCGTCATTTTCCACAGAACTTTAATGAAGCACACATGCTGTAAACTTAAAAACTCAGCATGAAAGCGTTAGCAGCTCAATTTCATTACGAACTCTGCTTAGTTTATGAAGCTCATATCTAACTTGAATAGCTATGCTGCAGTGGTTATAAAAACTACTAGCTGACCGCAATAAATAGTAATAAGGGTACAGGGAATGACATTTTTAAAAGAAAGGATCTGGGCCGGTAATGCTCACGCAGAAATAATGTACTGGTTTATTGGTTTGAGTCAGTACTGCTGTCCCGTAATCCCCAAATACATTACTGACGCTTACATGATGCCAGCTTTCATTTCTTCTCTTTCTGGGCAATGAGCATTAATTGTTATGCCAGCGAAGGGGGAGGAAGTGATGGTTTAAAGCGACATCAGATGCCTATTAAAAGACACAAAGACACACAACCCAGCTGTGTACCTGGAATCAAACAGCGTCCCGTCCAAGAACGTTCCGTTGTAATGGTATCGTACGAAGTCAGACACCTGGACTGTCCTAGGACACTTCTTAGGTTTGAAGTAAGTCTGAACCTGCACTTCGTCCTCCGAGTTCCAGAGATCGACCAGAAGCACATCGAAATGGAGCACAGCATTGGGGGGTATCACACCCGCTGCAAAACCAAAACAACACAACACAGTTTTATTTCCCTTTTTCTACAGGACAACAGCAAAAAGGGAACCAACCTACACATTCCCTAAGTAAAATCCGTGAGGTACAAATTGCTCCTTTTTGTGCTTATAGCCCCCTGTACCCTTGTCGCTGTTACAGCTATGT